ATCCTAGATGAGCTGCAGACTTGTAGCTATGATCCTACTGACTGCTCTGAAACACCTTCCCCAACCCTGAGCCAGATGTCTGCTGTGTCAGATGGCACCACCTTAACCAACACTGCTGCCACTTCTCATGTAATTATGCTTCCTTTTTTCCTCCTCCATTTTGTTCAAACAGGTTGTCAAAGGGGAGCAGAATTCGACTTTGTCTGTTCTCCCTTTACACTGGCAAGTGTTTTGTTAGTAATTTTCCACGGTCACAGTCTGACAGCGTTTTGTAACAGTAGTTTAAAAAAAAATCATTGACATAACAGGGAATAGGAAATGATTGTTGCACAGTTGTGTGGCCAGCTAAGGTGTATCAAACACTTTGCTTAAAAGAAAATAAATTCAATAAGCACTTGTTCTAAATGTATTAAAAAGCAAGCATTCCATGGAGTTTGAAGAGATTTGTTTAAAATATTGTTAACAGTTTACAGGTTTTTGGAGTCTGGACTACCATCATTTTTGATTTACACTGAGGTGCAGATTTCAATAATGAAATTTATAAATTCTTAGTAAATGCTGGCAGTATTTAATGCAGTTTTTTTTCCTCAGCCATGACGACTGACTGCACAAAACTGGTTTTCTCTCCTCTAATTAACTTTTTCCTCTCCTGAGCACAGTTTCTTATAGGACTGAACTGCATAAATAATCTTGAATTATTCAAGTGTCCTGTTACTTTTCTCTTGGTTAAATCAAGGGAAAAGCCAGTATGCAGCTAGACACTTTATACATACATTCACTTTTCTGTAGCTTAGCACACTCATATATATGGGGGGAAAGAAGGTATGGAATCTGGGTCAAACCCAGATCACTTCTGATTTCTTTTGAGATTATCCACATGATTAAAATGAGTCAGAACAAAGCTTTCATTTAAATTGAGCAATTCATCGCTGAATTGCAAAACAGAGAGATGTTCTGAATCCAAAGTTTTACTGGGTCACAGGAGTGTTCAAACTTTGTACAAATACTTTAGCATACCGTAATTTTCAAGCCCAAAAAGAACAAACAGTATATATATATTTTTTTAAGTTTTGTGTATAATTTATTAAAAGTATTTTGAGCCCAACCTTGCACATAGTCACCTGGAAAGCCAATGATTGGTTGTCATTGCTCTGGATGCTGCTAAAAAATAATACTAATAGCAGACATGTAAAAGCTGTAATTCTTAACTTCTGTAACACAGCTAGGAATTTTTTTTTTTTTTAGAACAGTGACTATGAATCTGCATACAACACAGTACTTGTAGCCAAGGATACCATAATCAGTATAGACTGGTCAGACAGAGTCACTACATGACCATTTACTAGCTATGGGAGCATGGTATATTTATATTTTCTTGTTAGCCTACTTCTAAAATTGTCAGCTAACTGTATTTGTTTTCTTTGGGCACCATTTTTTGCAAGCTAAAGTGAACAATCGGTCATTCTTTCCTTTTTTGGGTTAGTCTCCCAGTAGAAGGCTATTTAATAGTCAAGCCTGACCACCACTTTCTCTTCTAGACAGGGCAGGGATGAGCATAACGTTTGTTCACCACTAGTGGACAAAGCAAAATGAAGAGATACTCACCCAAGGGCAAAAATCCCCAAGCAGTCCTAAGAGCCTCACAGAAATTAAACTGCTGGCAAACCCCAACTCTGCAGCTTAGAAAAGCTGTCATCTCCCAGTCTCTGTATGGAAGGGCCAGATGGCTAAAAATGTATCCATGAAATGACAAAATGATAGGGAAGCTGGAGTCACACACACACACGTGTTGTTAGTGGCTCTAATCCTGGAATGATCTTCATTCTCAGATTGCTGTTGATTTTATAGGTGAAAACTGCTGGGAGAATGATAAAAGTAATAAGTAAAGTAGGGTTGGGCCATCCACCACTCTACCTGCATGAGATAGAACCATTCTTTAAGGACTTTATGTCTACATTGGGGGTGTTTGTATATTTTTGAGTTTCTTAATGAGACTAGAGAAAAAAAAGTAAGAAAGCTTCTAAGAAGAAGCAGCAGCATCAAGAAGAGCTGAGTCAACAAAATTGACACATATTCCAGGTAAAAGGCAAAGCTAAAGGTGAAACTGTAGTCAATTTCTTTTACCTTTAGTCACAGATTACAAATTCTTTGAAAACCTGAATTATGAGACTTGTAATTCTTATTTGGGCCTATGCTTAGAATTGGAGTTAAAATTAGAGAACTGCTGGTGTTGGAAACTATTTTTTCTGATTGTGTTCCAATTATGAACATTTTCCCTATAAAATAATTTCCATGGCTTCTTCTTTTTTATGTAGTTTGAAATGCTGGAATCCAATGTAAACTTGGAAATGGAAGTACACGTTAGATTTTTGCATTTTCCCATTACTGTCTTGAGCTTCAATTGATCCTGAGTATTTTAACCTAACTCAGTGTCCTGAGGACAGGTGTGTTCTGTGCAGCATCCTTGCAAAGAACTGCTCAGACAACCACAATGTGACCTCTTCTTCCTGTCTCAGCAGAGACAAAGTTAGAAAGCAGCTCCAGTCCCAGACGGATGCCTTCTTCTGTTCTGATTCAGAAATCCAGAGAGCTACTCTTTCTGATGCTCAGGCAAATTAGAGGAGCTTTAAACATGATGCCTCGTAGGAATTTTTACAAGATCTTGATTATCTTGCTGCAGAAGTAGATGGCTCTACTTGCAGTGGAGGACAGTTAAGCATACTGGAGGAAAAAAAATAGTGTAGGTTGCTAGGGAAAGGAACATCATGAAAAATTATTTTCCAGTAAATTGGAAAATAAGTGCATTTTGGTTGAATAGGTTTTTTTTCATATTGTTTTCCCACAAAGATGACTTAGGAAAGCAAAATGTCTAATTCATGAATAGGCATCTTAAAGATTTCACTTTCTTGTAAAATCTGGGAATAAACTGTCATCTGGACCTAAAATGTCAACATTCTCATATTGAAATGTCAGTATGATATCAAATGATTCCAAGTAAAGGCCTTTGAAACTTTGTGAATTATCTTTTATAGCCAACCCCGTAAACTGTGCAAAATGCATCAGATGAAAAAATTAAGTAGCCACCTTCACAGACACTTGCCTCAAAGAGAAAATCATTATAAACTAAGAAATTACAGCTGAGCTGAGATCCTCTCTAAGATCTTCAGAAGCAAACCCAAAAATGTCATATATGAACATGCCACATACACATTTATGACTGATGTCCTTCAACTACTTGTGTCCTGTTTTCATGATATTTTGTACTACTTCGTGTAAGTGCCTTACTGTTTAACTGAGCTATTTGGTATAGTCCTTCTCAGGAATATCTCAAATTTATATTACAGAAATTCATAGAAGTATCTTTCCAGTCTCCAAAGAACTCACACCAGTTCTGCTCAGAGCAGCAAAAGCCACAGTAAATGTGTAAGAAGGTGTAAGGCTCTGCACATAGTTGCACCCTGTCTTCCCTAGAAACAAGCTTTCCCACAAAGACAATATGTAGGCAAAGAGAATGGGTGAACACCTGAAGTAGAGGAGAGGTGGCTGTCCTCACCTTGAAACCTTATCTGGAAACATACCTTCATACTTCTTGAAATGCTGTCTTTGAGTTATGTAGCTTTTCTATTCTTATATCTCCAAAGCTGGTTTGGTTTTTTTTTTTTGGAGGAGAGGATCACATAAGAAAAGCTAACTTACTTTTGGTTCTAGAGTTTACTAAGAGGAGACTTGTAAATACAAAATTTTCAATGGAGACATCAACAGAAACTTTTCAGCTAACTTCTGAAAACAGGCATCCTTAAAATGAGAAGTCCCTGAATGCATCTAGGAATTCACATAATGTCTGCACGACTCAGAATTGTTTTTTTCTCTTAGCTATAGGAGGCCAAGATGTTAAAAATTTCAAGTCAATTCAGTAATCTCCGAAATAACAAATGCATACAGAAAGTCATGAATCATTTAATTTTTATTTGTAAAAATAATATGCTTTTTAATATGTTTTTATTTATGCTTTGGTGCCTCACATCTCTTATTTACATCTGCAGCATGTTTTAGTTCATTTGTTATATAAAATTGAGGAAAATTTGTAGTTCTTCTAATTCAGATTTAAAGAACAGTTCTGCATTAAAGCAGATGTTGCAGAGAGCTTCCATTGCTTTTCTGCTGAAATATTCACTACCCTCTTATTTCATTCAATGCTTTCTCAGTATCTCAGTTTTGATTCTTTCAATACTCTCTGTAAAAGTGATATAGCCCCAGAGCAGGGATTCTAAACCTGGGGGCAGATAGTTTCCTCTTGTGAAGTACCTCTTGTGACTAAAGCCTAAATGGTTTTAGGTGCTTGCTGCTTAATTGCCAGTTTACTTAGCGCTCCCATTTTTGATTTTGTTCTGTCATTTTGTGGTCGTGGGTTGTTGGTTTTTTAATTGGTGCTATTTATTTTTATTGTGATAGATTACATACAGCATCCCACAGTCAATCCAGCTGGCTTCCATTTTTTAAATAAATTTTTGTCATTCTTTTCTGTTAGTCCTGAGACTTTTCCCTTCAGTCTGCACAGAAGTTCTCATTAATATCCATAGTGCTTGAGCACGTGCACTAAGGGAATATGTCTCTTGTGTGAGGGATCTGTGGCAGACAGCCTTTGTCACACAGTGTTGGGAGCTTTTGCTGCCATCTTCATTTTATATTGCTGTCAGACATCTGCAAACCTTATTTGTGCCATCTTCACTGCCTTGACCGTGATCTCTCTGTCACCTTCCCATGACAACATGCATCACAGACAGCACACAAGGAGAGGAGAGGTACAAGGTACAGAAGGAACACACCCTGCTCCCTTTGTGATAAGTTTTGTGTTTCAGTGAATGCAGATGCCATTATGGCTGTGTACCTGACAACTGCTAATTGTTGCGTGGATGACAGTATTGCATCACTCTTTCTTTGGGATAGCAGTTGGAGAGCTTTGTGTGTAGTTTAATGGGATATTGTTTTGTCTCTCCCAGGCTCAGATCACAGTGAACGGGAATTCTGGCACTGCTGCCAGCCCAGTGAGTCACTTTCAAAGGCCTTTTTCCCCTTCTTCAGCTTACTCTCCACCAGCTTCACTTAATTCCAACATTGTTATCATGCAGCATGGCAGGATGATGGGTAAGCCTCACACAGAATGTTTGCTTTATACATTACACAACATATTCTGATTCACGTGGCGAAGACTGCAAACAATTGCAGAGTGCATCACGTCCATAATGAAGGTATTGTCTATTCATCTACCTTGGGAAGTAAATGCAAAAAAATAATAGTACTTATTGTTAGGTACAGTAGTGATCCTGAACTGGAGTTGCTATTAGGTTTTATAACCTAGGTGTGTGAGCTAACCTCTTGCCAATTTTCTACTGGCTTTACCAAGGGAAGGGCGTCTATCAAAATAGCTCAACCTGTCCAACCCTTTCAGATTTTGCCTAAAGAAACAAGGGCCCTTTGGCCACTTTGTACTTCACTCCTCCCTACAACTTCTGTAATTCTTCAGCAGAAATACTGTCAACAAAGGGAGAGGCTCTGGGCTTTTAAAAACCTTAGGCCACATCAATCTAAAATTTGTTCATGTATTTTTTAGGGCATCGTTAATTTAAAGATTAAACACAAACCAAATACTATCAGCCTTAGGCTCTTTGCCAGTATAATCCTGTTTTGCCAAGAGAATAATTTACTTGCTGCTTTTTCTACCAGTGTTGTGCATATTTAGAAAAGATTATATATGCAAAATAACTTGAATGTGGTCCCACAGCTTACATTTTTGTTGTGCTTGCAGGGAAATTAGGTGACAGTTCTTCCTCTGAGATATCTTAGACAAATGCTGCTGTCATCATTGTGATAAGTACAAAAACTGTATAAATGGGTTACCCCACATCCCAGAATTCTAGGTTTTTTGATTGGTTCCAGTTTGCTGATCTAAAGATCTATCAATACTGGTTTGGATATACCTGAAATATGTATTTTCCCATGACTTTCACTCTTGTATGATGCTGAAGTTCAGTGTTCCACAGTAACAGCCTGATTTAATTCTCTTTCCTCATGTAGAAATCTCCCTGATGGCCTCAGTTTGAGGCCTATGAAGAATGAAGGATCAAATCCAAAATGTTTTCTAAATTTAACATCATGCATTTTGGGAAAAAGTTCCAAATATTCAGACGTTTGCCACACAGAGTTGCCCCTCACCATATATGTGTAGCACTGAATTATTTACAGGATTTCAGACTTGAGTAAACAGCTGAAACAGCCATGCCAAAAGCAGCCCTGCAATGGGAGTAGGCAGAAATATTCGAATTAAAATTAGAGCTTTCAGTCACTGGAGCTCCTTTTGCAGACTCATATTACAACTCATCTTTTTCTTCAGAATAATCATTGGATATTATGCCACATGAAAGAGAATTGTAATTGTCACCATTAGTGTTAGAACATATATTTTCACTCCCTTAATTCATCTATCCTGCAGTGGAGCTGTCTCACTGTTACCTGCACTTGCAAAATAGAGGCTTTGTAAATAACAGCCCACTAATTTACTGAAACCTGCTGCCTGAAGGAGTAGGGCTCTTTTTCCTGTATACAGGAAAGAGTGTATTGTCTGCTGAAGTACAAATTTTCATGTCACATCCCAGCATTGAGGTGTTTTTTGTTAAGTAAAGTACTCTACATTTGAGAAGGAAATGGTAATAGTGATGTATTAATTTCATTAGTTATAAAGGAAGATTTGAGGGGCAAGGGTAGAAATATTGCAAGTCACTGCAAAACAGTAGCAGCTTGCACACTTCACCTGAGTTGCTGTAGGTGGATCATCAGATAGCTCTACAGGTGCAAGGTTGCTGAAAACCATTTTTATGGATTATACGTGGCATTGCATAAACATATCAACACACGTTAAGAGAAGAACACTGTATGTCAGAATTTATTTCTTAAAAATATTCATGCATCAAAACTTCATGTTTCTTAGCACAAATCACATGAATTTTTGTGCAAGGCTGTGCTTACAGAACAGCAATTTTCTATAGTTTGCTAGACTTGGTGGGTGGAAGTTTTGAAATTATGTCACTGGTTTCCAAGGAATGGGTAGAAAAGGTGTGAAAGTTTGATTTATAGAAGAAAGGCTGCTGCACCTTTCTCAATACATTTTGCTGTGTTTGTGGGATTTTTTTCACATTTTATTGATCAAGGCGTCGTGAAAAAGTACTTCTACTCTAATTCTGAGTTTTAATAGCTTGTCTGGTCCTTAAATAAGTTTATAATTCTGTTAATGTAACATTAAGTAGGACAAATCCTTAGTTAAGATGATATTTCTTTAAAACAATGTATATGTATGTGATTAAGGTTGTCAGCCTTTGTGCAGCGTACTGAAGTGGGGAAGTGTGTTTTAACTGCCAAGTATGATTATTGTGTCATTACACAATTTTCTGTCATGTTATCTTTACAGAGTCTACAGAGACATATTCACAGCATGTTCAGAATGTTGGCAGCACCACCACCACCAGTACAATACCAATCTGTAGAACCTCAGAAGAAGAAAAAAAAATTACAGTAATTAAAGCTCCACATTATGCAGGGATTGGCCCGGTAGATGAATCTGGAATCCCTACAGCAATTAGAACGGTAGGAAATTCTGGGAAATCTGTGTATGAACTCATACAATGAACTGATTGTTGGTAATGGGTTTTTCACATTCTTCTACTCTTATATAATTTGGACTAGAGCGTGTGTAATCAGCAGCCTTGTGAATATAATATTGTGTGTTGACGAAAAGGAGAATGCTGATGGAAGCATAATTGGGCAACCTCATGTTTCTAGTTTTAATTAGAAGTAGCCAAAATTTTGTGTTTCTTGTGTCTCTTGTAGTTCTTGCCTTTTGGAGATGCATGGTAATTGCATTTGGTTTATTTCTAAAATAAAGTTTATGCATACTATATATATGTACACGTGTGTGTGTGCAAAGATTTGTATATAGGTCTGTGTGTATATGTAAAAATCTCACACTTCTGCATTTTTTGGGGTAGTGTTCTCATATCATCAGGGTAGTGTAGAAATGTATAGTTTTTTCTGATGGCAATCCAAGGCAGTAGCATTTTCGTGGCAGTGCAGTAAATAATCATTGTGCCCTTGAGTGACACATAAGTGAATAGCTGGGGAGCCCTTTCATTGTGAGCAGCCCAGTTTTGATCATCTGCCGCTGGTCACTGCTTGAGTGGTCCCAGGATGTCAAACTGAAGAGTTTTGTTTTCACTATGCTGAAGCATTCTTTCCACTCTGCTGTCAGAGCAGCCTCTTCTGGCTGCTCCAGAGAGCACAGAGGCAGCTGCACTAGGTCTGTAAAGGCAGCACTTACTGGCCTTCCCAGCCAGAGAAGAACTGCTGTGCTGGACGGAGAAAGTGAGAAGAGTGGGAGCCAGGATGAAAGCGGCAGAGCCCTTGCAGGTGAAGTCTTAGTGAGGTGTAGGGATGTAGCAGCTGTTGGATATATCTTGTCTGCCAATATTGACATGTGGGACTATGTTGTATTGCCAAGAATTGCTTCAGGGTACTGAAAAATTAGGGGGGAAACCAGGAATTAATGAAGAGAATCAATACGAAAAAATCAGGATAAGTGCTAAGATGGGGACAATTTTTATAAGAATGGGGGAGAAACTCTGGCATTTCTTGCTTTATTTTTGACATTAAAAAGTAATACAATCAGAATCTCTTGGAAATGAAGACATTTCTTTGCAGCAATACTCTAGCTTCCTGTCCTCTTTTTAAGTAAGTAGTCCCTTTGCTTTATATTGGATATAGTAATTGGTTTTGTGCTTTTTTAGTAGCAGATTGTTCTAATAGGGTGCATATCAGTTATATAAGATTATAACAGAAATCCCCCTTAAGTGTGCCTAACGAAGCAGGCAATTTGCCAAACTATATTTAACTTTCAGGTTGTATGATCTGAGTCTTTCAGATTTTCTCCTAAAAATGTTTGAATTAGGACATTTTCCTGATGGTTTTGCTCTAGTTTTTGTTGTGTTTCAGTTTCAAGAAATCTTATAGCTTGTAATCTCAATATTGTAGAAATAATTCTCACAATGAGATATAAGTTAAAACTTTATGCTACCGTGTGTATGTATAAGAGTGTCTGATGTGTCATTTTGCATCCTTATTCTGCTTCCTTAAAACATTGCTGACAGTAAAGTTGTTTTCAAGATACTTATTTGAGACTTTATAAGTGTGCACAAGTATGTTTGAGCCCTGTGTACCCCAGCTGAGCAAGAACAAAGTTGGTATAGTTGTAAGCAAAGACTCAAATATGCTGCACGTTTTAAAAGTGCTAAAACTGCATTTTCCATTAATAGTAGAAGGTAGGGTATATCTCCTGCCCCTTCTTCGAGGTCAGTCAGCAATCCAAATAGGCATCTTCTCCCAGAAGGCTCATCCTCAGTCCATATGTAGAAAGAAGTTTTCCAATTAGTTTAATTCATCATTGCGTGTAAAGTTTAGAAGTTTTATTCTTCTGTCTTTGTGAAAATGGCAACAGTCTATCAAAAAAGCAATAAATGAAGATTCAGGGGGGATAGGCAACACACATTGTATTCCAAAATGCTGTACTGCTCAAAGTTTAGCATGTCTCTAAGAACTCTGGAGTATCTGTGTTCCACATTTTGAGTGCTTCTCAGGAGTAAAGAGGTTTTGCAAGATGTGATCATCTCCTCCAAGAACATAGTTTGTGACAGCTGTTTAGCCAAGGAAAACAGAAAGATGTTCTCTTCTTTCTATTCCTGCTAACCCATTCTATCTCAGGCTTCTGAGAATGGAAGGACTCCTATAAAGCTTTTTATTCTCTCAGAACCCCCATCTCATGTTAACACTTTCCTTCTGCGCCACTTTAGCTCTGCAAAATGCAAGTCTGAAGATTCACACTGTTGTTAGGTTCTGCCTTTGTGCCAAGCCCTGCCCCAAAGATGGTAAAATTCCAAGATACTAAAAATGAAGTCTCTGAAAAAGAGAGGGTAAAATGCTGTTCACTCAGAAAAGCATTCAGTCAAATATAGCACCATTTACCACTGATGGGGACCTGGGAAAGGAAAAACCAGATTCATAGAAAGCAGTAACACTGCACTGTTTTAGGCTATCCAAAATGATTGCTTTATATCTAATTATTAAAATTAATCTGTAGACTGAAAAGGCCTCTGCTTAGTAAGAATGAAAAAAAATCGAGTCCCAATAGGTTTGTTTTCCATCCTTACTGATGTAATATTTCAGCTCAAAAAATAAAATAAACAAAACCCAAAAAACCAGAGGTCCACTGAAAGTCTCAGAATATTCTGAGTTGGAAGGGACCCACAAGGATCATCAAGCCCAGCTCTTAAGTGAATATCTCATAGGGGAATCCAAGCATTATTAGCACCCTGTTCCCACCCACTGAGCTAATCTCAGGGTCAGAGAGGCCTCTTTTAATTGCATACTTCCTGATGGATGATTACAATGCTGCAGTGATTATGGACTCTCCTTAGAAGCAAATGCATTTACTTCTTATGTCCTCTACATGTTATTTGGCTGATTGTTTTTCACATACGATTATACCATGTTCCAACATTTAATTGCATCAGCTATAATATATGCAAAGCAGGATGGCATATGAATGGCTTCGTGCATTGTGAATACTGTTAATTCCTCAGACAATGTTGGTGTGTGGGATTAGTGAATATAAATTGAGAAAATGTATTTCAAAATTACTGTATTCTATTTCTTAGTCCTATCTGGTTTATAAATTAAAGCCAACTCACTGGCTGAGGCTTGAAACCCCTAGGAGGGTTTTGCTGGGGAGGTGATGAGAGAAAGGAACATTCAAATGTCCAGAAAAACGTTGGGAAAACTTCTTATCTACTCATATGAGAGCTTCTCCATACCTGATCTCTATGTGGGAGCTTCCTTTGGCTTTTTGGAGCAGCAGGCAATTTTTGACAAACAGCAAGGACATAGCAGTAATATTTATGCATTATTTGCAATTTGTTCACCTACCACTGGTTGGAAGACTCTTCTTGGTTCAATACAATCAGAAAGGCAGTTGCAATGTCATGGCACTGTTGCTGTGGGAAGTGAGGAGGAGCAGGGAGGTTATGCCCATCCTTCAGTGTGAATTCCTTCAGACCTCCTGGAATCGTACACTTTTGAGCATATATGATCCTGGAGCACCAAACCGTGTACTTGTTTCAAGTCCAACTAAATTATTCTGACCAGAGGTCCACTAGTATAGATATTTAATACCTTTAGGAAAACAATATTGAAATTACCCAAATCTGCTTCTGAATAACTTACTCTTGGCAGAACTCAGCAGTATTGGTAGGTGGGGGAAGGGACCTATCTTACCTTGAGACAAAACTGAATCATCTTTTTCTCTGTCTTACAAGCAGGCCTAGGTAAAAAGCATAACTCTGCTTAATTTTTTTTCTTACCCAGGAGATCCCCAAGTTCTTCAACTGACTGTCAGCTCTTATTTTAAATATTGTTCTAATATTTTTTAGTAGCAATTTTAGGAGAATTCAATATGAGTCCTCAAAATACAGTACCATTTCTGCTTAGTCCTTTATAGTAAGAGCTCACCATTGTAAACAAGACATATTTGTTTTGTACAGATAAGAAGTAATCATGGCAAAGATGTGATTTAGTAAAGATGGCAGTGTGTGGTGAGCACACACAAATCTTTCCAGTATTCTGTAGGGAAGAATTTGTAGATTTTCAGTTTTTGTGGTAGAGAGTAAGTTATGTGATTGCAAATTTGGTATTAGCTGGTACAAAATAATGCACTTCAAGGGGCGTCCTTTGAATTTTCCCTATGTACCATGAGGTTTGAACATAGTGGGTTTTTTGGTTGCCCAGAGAAGCTGTGGATGCCTTATCCATGCACGTGTTCAAGACCACACTGGATGGAGCTCCAGCAACCTGGCCTGGTGAAAGTTGTCCCTGTCCATGCAGGGATGCTGGAACTTGATGATCTTTAAGGTCCCTTTCAACCCAGGCCATTCTATGATTCCATGATTCTTTGCATTAAAACTTCTGCATTTCTGACTACTGTGGGACAAGTAAAATTTTAACACCCAAGAAGGATAATACTGAAAACATATTTGCCTTTGTGTTAATCCTTTTCTGGAATATTATCATCCTACCTCAAAGAAAATTGCAGCATAAGAGAAAATTCAGAAGGGTAAGAGATAAAAAGAAGCACAAGCAGGTGTTGATATGAGCAGAGTTTGGGAACCTCGGGATTACTTAGTTTGCAAAAGTAAGGATAACTGTAATTTAATTAGTGATTATTGAGTAAGTTAAGTTATCTGGAAAGGGCTTTTAAAACTGGTAAAAGGAATACTCTTTGTTTACAATCCAAACATTAATTCTGAAATATGGTGTGGCCGTAGTTCTTTTCTCAGTAGTATTACAAAGTTTTCCTGCATTATTTAACAATTACATTTTGAAAGTAATTTAAGCCAGAAATTGCCAGGAGGTCTAAAGCAGCTCTTACATGCCTGTAATCATAACTGCTGAGGTGTTTCTATTTTCCTGTAAAAAATCTAGCATTCATCGTTGTCAGAGATAGGGCACTAAGATGATGAACTGCTGATCTCACAATAATTCCTAAGTTCGGAACCATTATACCCTCCCAAGATCAGAGTCCAAGACTGACTCAATCTTCAGTGTCTTCTGAAATTTGTTACAGGAATTCCTCGATAAAATGCATAAATACATTAAAATTATTGTATGAAATAGGGAATAACATTAGGGAATAAATAGGGAATATTTCTCTCCAGAATAATATTAAATGTCTGATCTAGACACATGGGTATTTCTATTTTGTCTTTTTTTTTTTTTAATTGTTAAAACTATTTTTTTCAGACAGTTGACAGGCCAAAGGATTGGTACAAGACAATGTTCAAGCAAATCCATATGGTTCATAAGCCTGGTGAGTATGTTCTTGTCTTTGCCTCCTCATTTCCAGTTTGAGGGATGAGAAATTGTCTACTGTAAATCTCTACCATCTGCACTGCCTTTCTTTTGGAGAACTCCAGTGTTAGAACAGTGTGGGCTAGTAAGCAGGCTGGTTTAAGGATAGATTTTGTGCCTGAACTTAATTGATGTCATAGAATATCTTACTTGGTTTTGCTGAAACAGAGCTTTGGTGACATTGCTAGCTTTAATGCCCTTCATGATTTGCCCCAAAGATCTGAAGAAAGTCTGTAAATGGCAATTATGCTCATTACACCTCCAGAAGGAAGGAGACACTATTCATCTGAGGTAGAGCTAACATTCAGTATGGTCACACAGAATGTTAGTGGGAGAATGAGAAATGTAGGCAGGAGAATGTTGGCTTACAATCTCTATTTTGAACACTAGTCACATAGAAGACATTTAGGATTGCCTTTATGATAGGAACAACAACTTAACACCCTGTAGCAGAGGAAAGCTGACAAAAGGAAGGAATCAAGCTTGGGGAGGGGAAAAGAACAGACAAAAAGTAATTTGCAGTTTGGTGCTAACTTAGTGTGCAATATGAATGACATGACCAGAAGATACAATACAATAAGATTATATAAACAGCCTAAGTTAAGTATAATTGGAAGATGGAGTCTTCAAGCATGTGTGAGATGAGGAAAAGAAATACAGTGCTTAATTGCCTACCAGTCTTTTATTTGTATTTGCAAAAACAAAGCTCAGTTTCTGTGATGAACTGGCATGTATGGCACTACTGTAACATATGTATTTCTTTTTGTAGATGACGACACAGACTTGTATAATACTGCATATGCATACAATACTGGTAGGAATTGCTCCATATTCAAAATGACGCTTTTGTTAATGTCAGCAAGTAATGGTGTGGTTAAACCTTCACGCTCGCTTTCATAATGCTTGTAGACACACTTTTTATTGTCTTGTTTGATCTCTGTTGTTCATGCCTTTTCTCCCCAAATGAAACAAGTTTAATTTTAGTTTCATTCTCACTACAGAAATTAATTGCAGCTGTGGATCTCTTACTGTAGAGAGATACACTTAACACTGTGGTTTCTTGATTACATTGCATTTGTTTTCACAAGTGACTGTTAGTAATGCTGCCTTTCCTTATAGAAATGGAAAGAGAACTACTGTGTGAAAATTAAAATACTAATTACTGACATTTTGAAAGACAAAAAGAATGGACTGAATAGACTTTAAAAACATGCAGCAAGAATAACTAATAAAACTGATTGTTTTACAAACTTTTCCATTTCTGCTATAGGCATTCATGTTTTACGCTATTTACCCTCAAGAAAAGACATATTCATCTAAGATACACAATCATTGTGTCTTAAGAAGGTTATACCCATATGGTAAAATTATTTACAAAAAAAGCAAAAATGAAAACATGAATAGACTATGTGCAAAAAGGCCATAGTGCCTTCTGCAAAAATGCCATTCAAATTTTTTCATTTCAGTTTTTGTTGCATTAAACATGCTCTCAATAGTGCCTTTTTCTGTGCTGCTCGGATTTGTTGTGGGTCAGTGGTTTGACATGTCTTTGTACTCTTGTGATCCTCTTCAAGATATGCTATTGCTTCATCATCGCAAACCAACTATTTATTAAAACAATAAAAAAAGGTGTGTTTTCTGCCTCTTTTCTACCTTCTGAACATGGAACAACCTAGCAACAGGATGAGCCTGGAGATTAATTAGAGGCTGTCATTAACAGATGTGATGGATGTATACACCCATTAACTTCTCCATCAGTTTATTTTAACTGTACTGCACTTCATCTATGTGTTTGGAATTTTGTGTAAAAATATATAAGAAGTTCTCTGAGGAGCTACATAATACACAGCAATGTACTTTTAAAACTCATTTACACATTTTTGTAATCTTGCTGTTTTATTGAGTTATTGTGGGTTCTTGTAGCATTCCATATTGTGATTTTTTTCAGACTTACTCTCATGTAATGACTGTTTCTGGTTTTGTTTTGTATTAGGTAGCTACAGTCCATCCTTCTCTGCTCAGGCACACCCAGCTGCAAAGACACAGACGTACAGACCACTGTCCAAAAGCGCTTCTGACAGTAGCTCTGATGCCTTTAAGGTCTCGTCCCCTTTGCCACCCCATGTGCCACCACCAGTTCCACCACATCGTATGAGGCAAAGATCTACACCAGAAAAGTAAGTTAGTGCATTTTCAAAAGGTGTTCTTGCTAAGTACAGTATTCCAATTGCAGAATATAACGAAGGATTAAATAGCAGCTCTAGAATGACTCCCAGGGCTTTATTCAAGGCCAGTCAGGTGATGAGGGGTGATCTTCGCCAAGAGTCTGGGCATCATGCATGGTGCTGTCATTTCTTCAGTGTGCTAAAGAAGTTTTTATTCTTATTCATGATGCAACCATTAGCATTAAGGATTTTTATTCTCATTAGTGGTATTGTCCCACTTGTTGTGTTTCAGAACAGTCTGTGCTCTAGGAGCTGTCTTCAGTAGTTAGTCTCTGAGTAGGAAAGGCCATTTATTGAATCCAGCACCAAAGAGAAAGGATCAAAGAGATGATGTAATTGAAAATTCAAGGGAGAGCAAAACTGTACAAAAGTGTAGCAGTCAACCCATATTTCCCCAGAACTTAGAAATGTTTTACACCCCCACTTTTTCAATCTCCATTTTGGTAGACCAAGACAGCATTTACAGATTAAAGAGGCATTTCAGATATCTCATAGTTTTCTATCCAAATTCTCTGCACAAAACCAGTTCCCATTGGTTAGAGTTCAGTCTGGAAAAAGTTAGTAATGAATAACTCAGGAAAGAAATGTTTATCCTTTTGATAAAACTATGCAAAAGCCCTGCACACAAATGCTGTTGACTTCAGCATATCTGTAGGTACTAGCTCAAGCAAAAATCTTTTTCTTTAGTGTTTACATTCATTAATACTATATATTAATATAATATTATTTTATTATAATTCTATATGTGTGTGGCTATGTATATATTATATATTAAAAGGGTAATATTTTTCCTTTCATCTGTGCCTACAAGCTCCTCTCAGGCGAAAAAAGAATTTGAGCAATTTTGTCAGCTTGGACACTGTAAACATATATATATGTAGGAATTTATTATATTAAACAGTTACAAGTAATCAGTAGTAGTTTAATAATAATCAGTAGTAGTTTAAATAAAATATTATGAGGAAAAATCATACTAAGTGTTTAAAATTAAGACATGACTATGGCTTTTTGAAAACTTTTAGGTAATGACAATCCAAAATATAATTCAGTAGATACCCATACTGCAGAGGAAGATGAGATTGCTTGATGGTTACTGATTTTGGCTTCCCTGTTGCCAAGGGCAGGTTGTCAAGAGGAAATGCTAAAGGTTAGAGTTGGGTTTCCTCACAGAGGCCATGAGGCTTGAACTTTGTCAGCAAGTTATAGAGAAGTGCAGGTATTTTTAGCAAGACACCAAAATGTGGAGCTGTTTAGCTTTGATTTCTGAAGTTGTGTGAGTTGTCCTCTGCTAGGCCAAATGCCTCGGTCACAGAAACTGAGGCCTGTTGCACTCCTTTTGTCAAGCTTGGAAACAACTGCTCAGCATTGAATTTGGCTGTTTAACCTCCCCTTTTAATCTCCTGCATGATGTGACAGGCAGTGGAAATCTGTGTTCTCCAGGCCAAGGGATGCCAAACACGTTAGTTATGCTTTGCCCACTGCTGAAAGCTATAGCTCATCAATCTTTTCCTGCCTTTGGGAGATTTTTTTTAATTGCCTATGAAGCCAGAGTATTTTAAATCTCACATAAGAGGCTTAGGTCCACATATACCACATGTTTCATATCTGAGAGGCAAGATATGGTTTGCATTAGCAGTTGAGCTCAAAATATAGTCCATACAGGATAAAAGGCTGAAAACTGTAAATTAGTTGAACTGAGTGTGACTCAGAATTTCAGTAGCATCTTTTTTCTTCAGTGGCTTGCAGTATAATGCAACTGCATCAGAATATTTCTATCTTTCTGTTCATTCTCAAATAATACATCCCTTTCTGCTCTGAAAATAATATTTTCCTCAGTGAAAATAAACAATAAAGCCATGTAGAACTACTTCCCTTGAAATGTAGGGCATTTTATAAATAGAGGTGTCTGTGTCCCTGAAATGCACTTGCAAGCATACTATAAACAAAAGCTAACCCATAGATTTTTTTTTTAAGGCACATGACACATGCATTATGATGTCAGGTCACATCAAACCAAGTTAAACCAGAAAGACCTATAGAACTGATAAAATTTAATCAGTGTGTGCCCTTATCATAAATACAGACAATAGCTGGTAGTGTTTCCCCTTCCCTTTCCTCCAACCTTTGAGTTACTAGTGAGTTATTTTACACAGAATTAAATAAAAATATGTATG